TTTTTTATTTTTTTTTTTTTGGAGATGTTTTGGTAGAGGTTTTTCTTTTCTTCTAAGAGGAGTTCTTGTCATCTCTTTGTCACTCTTTTTCATTATTAGTATATTAGCTTTTTGTTACTGATTAAAAAAATCTTCAATTGTTTCTACCACAAAAAAGGTTCTAGTTCCAGTGGTCCTTGTTTCCCAAAGTTCCAAATGTTTTTTTGGTTCACTGGGATCTTCTAAACTAGAATTGTTATCATTGTAAGAATTTGTGTTGGCATCCTAAATACTTGACCTTAGCCTGAATAATGAAATTCCATGTGGTTGTTCTTAAATCATGCCGTGCCATAATACATCAATTCTGGATATACATTAGTAAATGTTGAAGTTTTGCTCCAAAAGAATGTTATAGTTTTCATATCTGCTCTGTGGGGTATGCTCATTTGAACTGAAATTCTGCAGTTCCCAAGGTATAACAAACGAATGATTAATTGTTTGGAGGACAAATTAATAAACAATTACATTGAATTCCGAATTTCATTGGGAAATCTAGTTCTATGACTGTTTTTGTTGGTCTGAACCAAGAAGAGAAATAAAAAGGTGAGGGCAAGCTAGGTTTGGAGGAATTTGCATTTTTGAATTTATGATTGTGAACGTTTATATGGTCTAGAACATCAATCCATGTTATCATTGGTCGTTTTCTTTTTTGTTTACTCATTGTTTGGCAGTCCAGCTTTGGTGCTCATTTTATTTAAGCAAATTTATAGGTATTCTTTTCATTTTTATTCTAATTTTGGGGAACCAAACTCTACGGAGGAGAAATATTCACCTCGCTCCGTACTGCCTTGCTACCAAGCTCGTCTCACTCCGTTAGGACTCCATCGCACTGTGAACAAAACAAAAGTGAGCTATCCGGCAGGTGGGTTTGCCGAAAAATCCCTCCGACGTTCACGTTAGGTTTCTAGGAGAAGAGAGAAAGCAGAGCACTCTAGAGAGAGAGAAAGTTCAATATTGCTTCAGGTTGCTTACCTCCAACGTGTGCCTCTTCCTCCTTTTCAAGGCTGGCCATGCAGCCACAGAGATTGTGGGCGCACTACCCCTGTTGTCCTTTCTAGACAGGTGACTGTACTCCCCTCTCCATTTCTTACATATGTAAAGACCAAAACTGTCAAACAGTATTTGTCGCACTGCCAAACAGTATTGACGCATACCAGGAGTGGATTCTCCTCTTTTCGTCATTGGTCCACATGGAATATTGACCCGAGCTATTACTTGGTAAAATATAAACATCACGTTGGACTGCTCAATGTCAAACCGGACCAGACCGACCTATCAGGGCCAACCGAAGTCGAGCGTGCTGTTCGGCATCGCGGTCTTGTGGACCGTCTATCTTCACAACTCCAGTCCGAATTGTCCACAGCTCGGCCCTCGCCTTGAGCTTGTTCAGCCTGGTCTGGCCCAACACCATAATCTGTGTGGGTCAAACTCAGTCCGACATCGTGTTCCGTGAATTCTTAGCTTGGCGCAATACATCCCAGACAATCCTAATCCAGTGGTGCACCATATTCAGTGCGGACACAATTCGGCCTCACTACGCGCCCCAAGTTCTCCTTTCACGACCCAACACCATGTTCCGTGTTGGTGTAGCTCAGCCCACTGTTCGGTACAAATCTCCCTCTCATAAACATTTTACTTATGTTCTCTTTGAGCTGCATGTAATTTAGATGAGAAGGAATGTCTTTAATAGGCTTTCCAGTGCTAAGAAATTGAACTCAACTTTTCGAAATTAAAAGTCACCTAACGGTGCAATCTTATTGATGAGAAGTTTTTTAATTCACTTGACTTTTTCTGAGTTCGATTAATAAAAGTCCTTGTGGTGTTCTGCAAGGAGACCGGAGTAACTCGGTGACTATTGGTAATATTGCAGATGAGCATATTGAGGTCGTTGTTGGTCGTGGTAGAAGAAACTTCATGGAAATCAGTCAGGTGTCATACAAAGGATTCAATTCGGTTATGTATTTTTTATTTCTTAATTTGTTATGTGGGGAACATAAATGCTTATTACGTGCTTCAATTTTTGAAGGCTAGTGGGGCTGATCAAGATATCAGATAGAGGCAATTTCATGTCTGGAACATCGACTCTTGATGTCTCTTTGACCTTGTTTGGCAGGAAAGTGACTATCACAGGACCACAAAGGGCAATCCGTGCAGCGGAGGCCATGATATCACAGAAAGTAGCATCTGCTTCTGAGAGGTGATGGAGTAATTAATTATCGAGTTTTCTCATCTATCCGTTAGAAATTTGTCTGTTAACTGATTTACCTTCAAATCTCTATATACATTCGGCAAATTTTGGCACAGTATATACATTTTGGCAAATTTTGGCAAAAATTGAGGGTATGTTTGGTTTGTGTTTGAGAGATGTGTTTTAGAGATAAAAAGTACGAAAACATGTTTGGTTTGGTTTTTTTTAAAAGATGTTTTGGAAAATTATTTTGAGATAGAGTTTTGGAAAAAGTGATTGATTTGATGTGTGTGAGAGAGAGATTTGTTTGGAAAACTTGTTTGGTTTACAAGTTTTGAGAAATTTTTTTGGAAAAATTTGTTTGGTTTGATTATTTTTGAAAACTTGTTTGTAGAGAAAATTTCCCAAAATTTTTTCAGAAAATCAAACCAAACGAGCCCTCTGACGGGACACCAAAGAACCAAAAGTTTTTGTTGAATAGAGCTTCATGTTACAGAAAATATATCTCAAGAGAGCAAAATTGTTGAAAGAGGGCCATTGTGATTGATTTTATTGGGAGAGGAAAACCGTGGGAGAACAACCATAGGAGGAGGCAACAGCAGAAATAGAGGAGAAACCAGCAGTCCCGGCGGAGGTTGAAGTCGACAGCAAGGACTTTGTTGAGTCAAGGAGGAGAAACCGGCAGGTGCAGATGCAGTCACAGGTGGTTCTCGGCAGCTTTGAAGCCTGTGTGACCTGTCAGGCGCGGGGTTTTCAAGAGTTTGGGGCTCAAGAGCTGTTTGGGTCAGGCGTAGGGTACTAAAGTCTGGCGTGGGTTCTTTTGTGTATCAGTGTTTTACGTGTGGCGCTCAAGATTTTGAATTGTTGTTTTATTTGTCTTTTTAAATATAAAATTGTGAGGCTTAAGGGTTGGTTGTAAAGACGTGAGTAGCAGTAGTAGGAGAGTGTTTTACTCTTTGAATCTCTCTCAATGCGTTCTTTTTTCTTTGTACCTTTAAATTTTATATTTTTAATGAAATTTTTTCTTTGCCGATCAAAAAAAAAAAAAGATTAATTTTATTGACTGATGTAAGTATTTACTTTCTACATACAGTTGTAACTTTCATTTTGCAGTTGGTATTTTATGAGCTCTATTCATTGAATGCTAGAATTCTTATATTTTTGCTCAAAATTTTCTTATTCCAACTCAGATGAGTCTTGTTCAAAGATTCTGAGGTGAGGCGCAAGCCTCAAGTTGATGTCTAAGCACTTTGTTTTTTAAAATTTTATATTGATAAATAAATCAAATATTTTAAACTAGTTTAAAAAAAAAAATTAAATGTAACATAAAGTTGTAAGAATTTTTCTCCTCAAGTCAAACATTTCAGTAGAATGAAGTTTGCTTGAAATTGAAATCAAATTTGTAGTTTCAATTATCAAGCTTCTTACTTGAACTGTGGCTTTTATGTTGGGTTTGGTTCTTTAGATTAGTTGATCTAGTGAGTTGGATACCGAGTTATTAATTAGTTGATCCAGTGAGTTAGATATCGAGTTATTAAAAAAAATTGTAACTTTTATGTTTGTTTTTTATTGCTTGTCTACTTGATTTTTCTTATGGAATACAGTAATTAAAGTAGGGTTTTTTAAGTATTTAAACTATTTATTGGACTAAGGTCTCATTTGGGAATAAGTTTTTTTGGTAATTTTTTGGCTAAAATATGATTTTTAAAAAAATTAGTAGATTTAGGATGATTTTTTATTTTTTTTATAAAAAAATGTGCAAAAAATAAAAAGAAAAAAAAATCTTTGACTTTTTTATATAAATTATTGACTTTTTTAATTTTTTAGTGATTTTTTTACTTTTGGACTAGAAAGTAATGTGGCCAAATCAGGTCTAAGTTTAATAATAGTTCAAGGCAGCCTTCCATATGCCTATTTCTCATATATTTACGTGCAAAAAGTGAAGGCATATCAAAACTCCTACAAATGAACGATGCAGATGTTTGAAATGGAGAAAAAAATTCTCTTAAAAGATAATTAGATTTTACATGTACACATACACATGATATTTATGAATAATGCTAGAGATCGTAAAATTTTACTAAAAATTTTACCAAATGTTTCATATGAATGTGTGTCTCACATAATATAAGTTTTATGTGATTTCACACTCATATGAAATATTTGATAATACTTTTAATAGAATTTTTAAAACTTCTATTATTTTTGAATATTTATTATGTGGATCTATATAAAAGATGAAAGAACTGCAGAATTCATCTAGTGGTGCATAACAGGGACCAATGAAATAGTATTTTATGATATTTTAGGATTGATAGGATGATATTTAGGTGGCCTGTCATGTGGCACTTTATATAACACCAATGACATGTATCAAATGTGGGAAAAAATATTAGGTAGTCTTTTCTTCAGATGTCATATGTTAATGGTTCATTTTCTTGACTGACTCATCAAGATTTTAAATTCTGATCACAACCATTCATTATTTCGCAAGATGACATGTAATGGTGAATAAAACAGTTACATTCATTAATTATTTTTTATCACAATACATTCTATTTTATTAGAGGTATATATAGCATTATAATACTATATTGGGGAAGAACATACATACATACATACATACATACACATATGCAACGTCCACCACCACCACCAGATATATTTGATTTGATATACATGAATGTGGTGAAGTCTCGCTGCAATTTTTTTTTTTATTTCAGGCTTACAAATGCAAACGATCTAATGGTAGATAAAGAAAATAGACTAATGTTCATGGCTTATAGCCGCCCTCACCGCCGCCATGTCCAGATCCGCTACCAGAACCATAGCCAGAACCCCCTCCATTGCTGCCACCACCACCTCTTCCTCCACCTCCGCCGCCGCCTCCACCTCCACCTCCGCCACCGGCATGACCACTACCACTTCCATATCCGGAGCCACTGCCACTGCCACTTCCATAGCCGGAGCCACTTCCAGGGCCGTAGCCTGTACCTCCACCACCACCTCCCCCTTTGCCGCCTCCGCCACCTCCACCTCCACCATATCCTGTCCCATCACCAGACCCGTATCCAGAGCCACTCCCAGACCCAGACCCATACCCAGAACCGTAACCGCCAGCAGCACCCAAACCACCCCCACCACCTCCGCCGCCACCTTTTCCGCCTCCACCGCCTCCACCTCCACCATTTCCTATCCCCCCAGCAGAACCGTATCCAGAGCCACTCCCGGACCCATACCCAGAACCGAAACCGCCAGCAGAACCTGAACCACCCCCTCCGCCACCACCTCCACCTCCACCTCCACCTCCACCTCCTCCACTACCGTATCCTCCAAGGGAATCACCATACCCAGAACCACTCCCAGAGCCGTACCCCGAACCATACCCTGAACCTGACCCAAGTCCTGAACCACCACCACCACCTCCTCCTCCTCCTTCACCTCCCCCTCCCCCTCCGCCTCCTCCACCTCCTTTACCAACCACCTGCAATGACCTAGCTGCAAAGCAGAGGTCTACAGAGAACAAAACCAAGAAAGCAGCACCTATCACCTTAGAACTAGCCATTTTCAAACAATGCAAAATGGGTTGACACTAAACAAATGAAGTCTCTCTCTCTCACTCTCTCTCAATGCTTTGAGAAACCAACGCTTGTGAGGAAAATAGTTGGGGCAGGGAAAGCTATATATAGGCATTAAAGATGATGGCATTCTAGTAACTTCTTGACTCTTTCGAGTATTTTTGGATCATGAAAAGTGAAACTATGAACGATGTGTCGATGGGGTTAGTGGCGTTGGTGTGTGGGCTTGGCGGCACTGCCAAGTGGATACGCTTTGCTCCCACTTTTGACTCGTGCATTATATTCTCCATCTGCGTCTCTATTGAACAAATGAATACAGTTTCCTCCCACTTTTGACTTAAGCCTCTAATATAGTACTACTTTTTTACTTTTAGCCAATGGGACAAATTGAATTCACTCCGACTTTCTTCTTTTGTTCACACTGGGGCACCACCACTATGGTAGACATGCAGACAATGGGGAGTTGAGTAACCAGTTGTCGGTTGAGAACGTAATGAGTTTTAAAATGTATTTTAATTTAATTTAATTTATTTAAATTTGAAGTACATTTTGAATAAGTTTTAATTGAATTAATTACGAGTCAAACTTGAGTTGTTTGATTTTTATAATTTATGTAATGAAGTCAAATAATAGATTGTTCAAATTTAATTTGAAAGCTTAACAAATTTAAAAATGTATTTAAGTTTACCATATTTTCTTAATGAGTCAATTTTAAAAATTTTAACAAGTTGAATACGAGTTTTTGTTTGTATCAGTAAAAATAAAATTTATTCAATCAACTAAGAATAAATCATTTACATCTTATATCAATAAAGATGGACAAAGGAAGTACTATAAATATCATAGTGAAACATACTTATCCTAATTAGGTTGGTACAAGGAGGGCCACCCAATCATGTGCAGCACCCGCCTAACAAGGTTGAGTTCAAGAGATTGGTTCGTTTTTTTTTTTGTTTTTTTTTTTTTTTTTTATTCAAAAAAAAAAAAATTCATGCACTCATTTGTTTTAGTTGGAATTTTGAAAAAATAATTTGAATAATTATTTTCTTAAACTATTAACATTAGTTCTCTTCACTCCAAATCGTTAACGAAGTTCATATTTTTTACTAAGGCCAAGTTTGACAACTCTGAAAAAGTTAAAAAGTTAAAAAGTTAAAAAATTATCATTATTCATCAAAAAAAAGATATTAAAAAAATAATTTCCCACGCATCATACAACTCAGCCATCATGAAAAGTCAAAGGGTTGTGCAACGTTTGTCCCAAGTATTAGACAGTTTGGGGCAATTTTTCACACACTGCTGTTCGGCCCGTGGGGGCCTATCATGGTTTCCGTTTTAATAATCTGAACCGTTTGATATGTATAACTCGTTGAGTACTATATGTCTGTAAAAAATCATGTTGATCGGATATTAATAACTGCATGATCAAATCAATTTTGTATGAAAAAATGGATGGTGTTATAATTAATGATTAAAAAAAACAAATCTGATCAGATAGCTATCAATATCCGATCAACGTGATTTTTAATAAGCATATAGTGCTCGATGAGTTCTACATATTGACGGTTCAAATTATCAAAATAGGACCCGTGACGGCCCCCATAGGCAGAACAAAACAGTCCACTACAATGCCCAAAAAGTACTCAACAATTTCTTACCAAGAATTCGGTTGTCAGATTGTACCGCTGTCATTCACTCATCTCGAATCTTCTCCTACACACTTCTTTATATAATTTTTTAATACATATTGTTTCATAAAAAGTAAAAAGTTAACCTAAATATTCATATTTTATTCCTCAACTTTTTAATTTAAAAAAATAAAAAATACACTTATTTAAGACGACCCAAACAACCACTAACCATCACACTTATTGGCACATACATGACACTCATTGATTCGCTTTTTACCCACACTACGGAGGGGACAGGTAAGGAGACAAATATTTAAATACTATGCATCAAAACAAAAAGATATAAATAAATAAATAAATAAATATTCAATAAATCACAATATGCATCAAATTGTAGCAAATTATTATATCCAGATACAACCAAATTAAGCAAATCGCATACACAAGTATTGTTGTATGTCGACAAGTCTAATATATCTCTGTTGCTTTGGGGTAAAGTAAATTAATGTCATAGTTTAATAGGTAATTATTTAAATTAATAATTCATGAGGGATTAAGCGAAACATGTTATAGTTTGAGAAAAAAAGTGAATTTTTCCATTCAAATAATTCTTTTCTTTTTTTTTTTTTTTGTGTGTGTGCATGTGTTGTTGATATTTTGTAAAAGAAAATTATTGAAAAGTTCACTCAAATAATTGTCTAAGACATTAGATCTAGTGGATATTTTTTATTGGTGAGAAATTTATGAAATAATTTGGTAAGAAGTCGTTTTTTTATTTTGAAAGACATTTTTTCCCAATTTACCCTTTATCTATCTATTGATTTTTTTTTTTTAACTATCTTTTTAATTTTTTTGACTATATGTTCAAATATTTTTTATCTGTTTGATTTTTTAACTATCTGTTCAATTTTTTTTCTTATCTATTTAAATATATGTCCAAATTTTATTATTTGTTCAAAAAATCTATCTGTTGAAATTTTATATGTTCAAATTATCTTTTTAAAATAAAAATAAAAATAAAAACTATCTATTCAAATTCTCTATCTATCTTCCCACTATCTGTACAAATAAAATTCAAATTCAACAACAACAACAATGCTACCTGTTGAAAATCTGTCTCCATTGTTAAAAATTTATCTGTTCAAATTCAACAACAACAAACAAAAAAAATTTATCTTTCGCAATCAACAACAACAACAATAACAACAATAATAAGAAGAAACAAGCAAGCAAATTGAATCTATCCAAATTGAATAATCTATCTGTCCAAATTAAACAAACTAAATATGTACAAATTGAATAATAGCATATTCATCTTCATATATGAGAGATAAATTGATTTCTCATGTCTGCAGCAATAGTATCTTCATCTTCAGATTTGAAAAATAGATGGATTTGTTCGATTTGTTACCCGAGAAAAGGTTCACAAAATTAGAATCTTCATATATATATGTAAACCCATTTAAAACAATGCTCAGGACCTGTAAATATGTTGGTAGTAAGTTGTTGGAAACCAATATCGAAAGATAAAAAAAATCTTCTGAGTACTGAGATTCTAATTTTCAAAGAAGGACTGTTGATTTAGATGCACCAAAACTATGGAAGATAGTTGGCAAAAGTATAGCAAACTATCTCAATAGAAAAGAAGATATATAGCACAGTTCTCAAGTTGAGAAAGAGAGAGAGAGAGAGAGAGAGATCACAAATCTAGTGTGTATATGTGTGTGTTTGTGTGTGTGTGAGAGAGAGAGAGATAGACGATCGTCCAATCGAATGTTAGGAGAAATAAAACTGACAAATCATATTCCTCAAAGATTCATAACAAATAAAATTGTTTATTTAGTATAAAATAAATAGTATTGTGACTGTAGATTTGTCAATGTTCAATGTGGCAATAGCCATTGGAAAGTGATATAGAGCTTGAATCTAGGGAGAGAAAGAGAAGAGAGATTGAAGATGAGAGGGATGAACTGAAATCCTAAACAAAAACAAAAACAAAAAATGAACCTTCATCTTCACATTTATCTTTATCTTCATCGTCGATTTTGAGCTTTTTCTAGCATCTAGTGGTCAGATTTAGGGTTTTAGTTTCAAAATCGAACCTTCGTCTTCAACTAAATAGAGAGTTGGCTACAGAGATGAAGAAGAAATGGTTTTGATGCCGCTGATCTTGCTCACTAGTAGTGGTGGTGAAGATGAAGACGGAGAAGAGAGATCGTCGGCGATGGAGTCGATAGAAACGGATGGGGGATATATATATATAGAAAAAGAGAAAGAATGGTTTGTTAGGGTTTGGGAAACAATATATATATATACATAGGTAGTTTGGTCATTTTGCAGGAGTTTGTTCTTACAGACAAAGTATTTTAGATTGTGTGTAACGCCCTTCACATTTTATTACTCGGATAACATTACCAAACCCATCATTATAACACAATTCCAGAGATAACATACAGAAATTCTATACATTTAAAATGGTAAATGAATAAGGGTTCTCTCATTCAAAATACATAATGAATGTAACATAAGATATAATTAAATACTTCACCCGCAAGCTTACATCATTGCATATAAAAGAAATAGTTTGACCCTTTTTACAACAACAACATTTCGCCCACAAATAATAGGCCTCGTGGCCAACAACTAAGGATGATCTTCGATCTTGAACACTTCTTGACTTTACCTAAAAAGAATTAGCAACGTGGAATGAACATAAAGTCCAATAGAGATCCCAACATGGTCCTAAACAATAATAACATACAGATAGTTATGATCACGAATGTTTTATATCATATCATATACATAATGTAACGGTTTATACTTGAAAATATATTTATACAAGTACTTTTCTCAAAATCGTTCAATTTATTCAACAACATAAAAAATTCACTTTTCTTTCTTTTTGTCACCTTTTTCAAATTCATCTGACAATAACAGGTTTTCGAAAACAAATCCACAGAACCCATTTACGTTTCCCCCAATTTCTGAACTTACACCCACTTCAAATATATTTCCAAAAACATCTCAAATGAACACGAAGATAATATGTATATCATGCTCCCTACATAACCATTTAAGACAACCCAACCTTCCCCAAAATATAGCCATTATCATATATGGTGCACACAAATGGAACTGAGATGATAACGAGAAACCAAACGACGCTTTACCTGCCTTAAACACGATAAGCCAAGGATACATCTTTCCATAATACAAGCCAATTTACCAGTCACCAGCTCGAAGGGAATGGGACTTCTACCAATTTACCAGATACCCGTTGGAAGAAAATGGTACATTTACCAAGTTCTCCAAGCGTTAGCTAGAAGTACTGGTGCCTTTTATTCTAAGCGCAGCCA